TGTATATATAAAGGCTACAGATATAGTCTGAGTGTCAGAGTGCTCTTGGGTCCAATTCCCTTGTCCTGGAAAAAAACAAGAACTAGACTAGAGCTTTATAAACCCATTCTTGATTCTCCAGGAAGACATCTGATGTTGCTTTAATGTGATCAGCCTAACTCTACATAGCTTCGGTATCTTTACTAGATTGAAGCTGTCTGTAGCTTGGCTTTAAGATCATTGTAGGGTGAAGCTTGGTGACTCTGTTTCCTGAGAAAGGTTTGTTCAGTACATGCCAGTCTGGGACTAGAGAGCACAGAAACCCCAGATGTACCAGGAGATGGTCACAAAGATTATAGGCAGATTTCAAGCAAGATGAAGTGTTGTTTTACCTGCTAGCTGTTACCATGGAAGCACCTGTGCCCAGCACCTGTTCAGAGGTTATTACTGAAACCCTAATGTGGGAACATTGTTATTATTGGGAGATCAGGAAATGTAGGGTGAGAAGCTTAGAAATATACAGCCCAGGCAGAAGTTTAGAAAGGTGCAGCTCCTATCGTGTGCAGTGTAAGCAAATGTTAGAAAGCGGCGATTGGTGGTGTAGACTTTTTTTTGTGCAATTTCTCCCTTTGGTATTAATGCATGTTTATAAACATAATACATTCATGGTGGGGAATTGGTATGTATATATACCACATCTTGATCCTATTTCCCCTTAGTCTCTCCCTTCCCCCTCTCCTGTCTCCAAATCCCTTTCCTATCTCTACAAAGTCTACCTCCTAGTTTCCTACTGTCTTTTATTTTGTTCATCAAATTATTTATACTTTGGGTTTCCTCATATAGGCCAAGGGATATTTAATCTTTTGTGTCTGATTTATTTCACTTAGTATTATGGTAGACTCTGGGTAAAAGTGCAAGAAAGCTAGGAAGGGGCTTGTCACTCAGTAGGGTCTTATATAAAGAAACTATTCCTTCCTTCTTCCTCCTCCCTTCTTCCCTTCCTTTCTTCCTTCTCTCCCTCCCTCCCTTCCTTCATTTCTATAAAGCATTAAGAATTAGGGGAACCCTCTTTCAAACGGATGTCCAGAGTCTGTTTGCTCCCACAAGGTAAGTTTAATTTGCATTGAATTCTTTTAAATTGCCAGATAGAATTTTCTTTTCATTTAATTACTATTTTCAGCAAAATATGCAGGCTAACATTTAATATGATGAAACATAGCAATGACTAATCTAATAGCCCCTTCTAATAGTTCCACAGGCAAATGTTCCAAACATACACTGTGTGCCTTTTTTTTTGTATGCTATTAATCCAGCTCACAAAAGAGACTGAGTAATGGGATTCTAATTCCTATAAAATGGGAGAATTGGACTAGTTAATTCTTCTGGTCCTTCCATTTCTAGGATTATGCTATATTTCTAAAGATAGTCCCTCTTTTGCTTTGCCATAGAGTTTGGTTTAATTTCCTCTTTTCTTTGTAAGATTACAAATTTAGGAGATAATATTCAGAAAAGTTCATTTCAGAATCTATAGGATTTTCTGCTTTTCTTTCCAACTTCTATTCCCATTCATTTCCTCTTTGTTATCTTCTTCCTCCCAACTGTAAATGTAGGTGTTGTCCTAGGTTCTGCCTTTTGTCCCTTTCTGGGGGTAAAATATTTATATTTTCTTTTCTTTCAAAATAATTTTAAGTGCCTTGGCTATTTTCTACAGATAAAAAGTGCTCAACATTTATTTGAATAAGGAAGAAAATAAATAAAAAAGAAAGGAGAGAGAAATGAAAAAAGGAAATTTTGAAGTATATAACATATTCCTAGAATTGGTGGCACATTTTAATGGCCTGCTTGATTTCTATATATTCTACTGGTATCTGAAAATTAATATATTCCAAATATAGCAGCTCACAGGTAAATGACTGGACATCATTCATGGGTGATATCAGTGTTAATTTTAGAGGACAAAACACTGTTTTCAAATCAAATACAATATTAATTACACTTTAAAACAGACTCCTCTTTTATTTTTGTTATTTTTTTCTTTTATTGAGTTTATTTATTGGTACATTTTAGGTATACAGTACAATTACATTCATTATTGGGATCTTGTACCTTTACACGACAGGTCTTGGTTCTCATTTTTTTCCCCTTGTCCGTGCCCTCCCTTCACCTACTCCTTCCCTCCCTATTTACAAAACCTTTTTTCCATTTTTTCATTTTCTCATATTTTTTCTTTTCCCTTATTACCTTTCCCCTGCCCTTCCCATTTTCACTACACCTTGAGCCCTTTTCTTCCTATTTCACATGGTCAATTATCTCATTAGTATCTTATGTACTATTATAGCTTTTCACACCAGAGACACTATTCGGTATTTATACATGTGTGACTTATTTATTTCACTTAGGAGCATGTCCTCAATATGTATCCATTTTCCTATGAATGAATCTAATTTCTCATTTTTTTGTCAGTCATAAAACATAATTCATTAGCATTTAATAAAAATGACTAAAAAAAAAAGTTAAAGGTCATGTGTGTGTGTTTGCTTGGGAATTGAAACCCAGGCCTGACATTGAGCTACATTCATCCTTGCCTTATATTTGTTTTTCTTTTTTACCTCTTCTCTCTCTCTCTCTCTCCCTCTCTCTCCCTCTCTCTCTCTCTCTCCTCTCTCTCTCTCTCTGACTCTCTCTCTCTCCCTGCTAAGTTTCCCAGGATGGGCTCAAAATTGAATTCCTCCCATCTCTTCCTCCCAGAGTTCTAGTATTACAGGCATGCACCACCATGCCCAGTGATTCATGAGTACAGTTGTGGATTTTCCTCTTTCTCATTGAACTTCTTTCAAATCAATAATTTCTCATTCTTTATGGCTGAGTAGTATTCCATTTTATAGAAAAACCACATCTACTTTATCCATTTTCCAACTGAGGGGCAAATGGGCTGTTTCAATGTTTTAGCTATTACAAACTGTGCCTCTATAAACATTGGTGCACATATATCACTGTGGTATGATTCCTTTAATTCTTTTGTAAACATACCCAGCAGAGTGATGGCTGGGTCAAATGGAACCTGTAGTCCCTGCTCTTTGAGGTATCTCCATATTGACTTCCATAGTGGTTGCACCAGTCTGCACTTCCACCAACAATGGAGAAGGGTTCCCTTCTCCCCACAACCCCGCCAACATTTGTTATTGATTGATTTCTTCATAGCAGCCATTCTTTGTGGGGTGAGGTGGAATCTCAGTGTTGTTTTCATCTATATCTCTCTAATGACCAGTGATGTGGAACATTTTTTCACATATTTACTTGCCTCTTTTACTTCGTCTGAGAAATGTCTGTTCATTTCAGTTGCCCCTTTTTGAATTGGGAAAGACTCCTCTTTTAAGTGTACAGTTTGATAAATGTTGATACCTCAATATAATGTTGTTGCTTCCAGTGCAGTCCAGATAGAGGATACATATTAAAATGTCCTTGTGCTCCTTGAA